GGCCTAGTTTTCACAGCTGATATTGAGCTTCTCCAGCGGTTCCTTCCACAGATGTAATCGATCTGATTCCAGTGCATACCATCAGGTGAAATCCATGTGTATAACCTGCGTTATACACATGGATAGCATTGGGAAAATCTGTCAAGGAACTCTCCATAGTCCTAAAGAGCAGTGATATCAGTTTAAAGACTACAGTGAGCTTGATTCTAACTCTAGTTTTTCCAATAACCTGCTATTGCTGTGCATCTGAGAGCTGAACAACAAATAAGGATGCTAGAAGAAGAATCAGTGCCTTTGAGTTTGGTGTTGGAAGAGAGTACTGAAAGGACTGCCAAAAGAGCAGATGTGTCTTGGAGAAGGTGCAACCAAAGTTTTCCTTGGAGGCAAATATGGCAGATCTTTGGGTCACATACTTTGGACCATGTTGCTAGGAGAAAAACATCATGCTTAGAAAGGTGGAAAATCAGCAAAAGAGAAGATGACCCTCAGCCAGATGTTTTGACGCAGTGGGAGAGCCAGTGGGCTCAGGTGTGTCTGTGGTGATAAAGATGAGGAAGGATAGGACAGGCTTCAGAGCTATTGTTCATAGTGTTACCATGAGTCATACTCAGTTTTATCTAACAAGAATATACACTTGACCCGTACCTGATGGACTACAGAGAATTCAGATAAACTACGTCTGTTGAAGGAGTCAGTGGATAAGTTCAATATCAGCCATCAGAACAAAACCAGGGACTGACTTTTGAACTGACCATCAGTTATTCATGTACAAGTTCAGATTATAGGTGAAAAAACTAAAAACAAGACCACAAGAACTAAAATATGACCTGACTGTATCTCATTACAAAGCCTGGAGTGAAAAGACCAAAATGAATGTCAGAAGAGACTCTGAAACTTGCACTTGCATGTAAAAGGGCCAAAACAAAGGACAAAAATGCTGATAGAGCTGAAACAAAGATTTCAACTAGGGCTTGAAAAGACCAAACAAAGTATTATAACAAAATGTGTAAAAGACCTGAAGTTAGAAAACCAAAAGGGAAGAACACAAGTTTTTTAAACTGAAAAGATTGAAATTTTAAAACATTTCAAATATGAAAACAAGTTCAGTCCCTGAGTTGCAAGCTGAAGATTCTCTAGGCAAAATTGTGATATAGGAAGCAACAACAGAAGATGGAAGGAATACACAGATTCACAGTACCAAAAAGAATTGGTCAACATGGAAACATTTCAGGAAGTAACATAATTAAGAACCAGTAGTACTGAAGGAAGAAAACCAAGGTTCCCTGAAGGCACTGGCCAAGTAAAAAAGGGCACAAAATTGAAGGGATACAGTTTGAGATATTTCAGGAAACAGATACAGCTCCAGGTATGCTCATCATTCTATGCCAAAAGATTTGAAAGACACCTTCCTGGCCACCTGGCTGGGAGAGATACAAATGTATTCCTATTCCTGAAATGGTGATCCAACAGAGTATGGAAATATGATACGAACAATATCATTAATAACACATTGAGTAAAATCTTCCTGAAGGATATTAAAAACAGGTTGGAAGAAGAACAAGGAGCAGTGGCAGGTATGGTGACAATTTGGTGAATGAAAACATTGATGCATTTGATAACGGTTGCAGTCTGCTTCAGAGATTCCAGAACTCGGTGCTGTAGAGAAGAGCTTGCTCCCAGTATAAAAAGGTGACCATCCTTGAGGCCTTGCCCGTGCCAATGGAGAATCCTTACAAAGAACCTCTTAAAAAAAGTATCTTGTGTGGAAAACATGAAAATTGTAAAAATGTACAGCTTTTGTCCCAGATTATTTCTCCATTTACAGAATGGCTGTACGGAAGGCACGTAACAGGTCTTTACGAGAAGAAACCAAATGAAATCACAAGCAATTAAGAGGGTTGAAAAATTAGAATTTATCCTAATGATATACAAAGATCCTGCACATCTTAAAGACCCTAAAGTTTCTAACATCAGATAACGGGAATAAATTATGTAAGACCAATAATATAAATATAAAATTAATTATTTTTTAAAAAACCTGTTGGAACAAAACATCTCATAGAGAACTGACAGAAATGCAAGCTGGATTCAGTTGAGGCTATGAAATGAGGGCAACTTTGCTGATGTCGGATAGGTTTTGGTGGAAAGCAGAAAACACCAAAAAGATGTTTATTCTTGTTGTTATGTCAGATCCGATCCATAGCTGACCCTCCAGTGGGTTTTCAGAGGCAGTAAGCCGCACAGGACAAGATTGCCGATCTTTCTCCTGCAGAACAGCTGGTGAATTTGAGCCATGTTCCTTTGTGTTTGCAATGCAATTCTTTATCACTAAGCCACCAATACTTCCTAAAAGACATTTACTTGTCATTTATTATTATACAAAGGGATTTGGCTGCATGGATCATACCAAATAATAGCTAACATTGAGAAGAATGGGAATCCTAGAATACTTCATTATGCTTATGCAAATCTGTGCATAGATCAAGAAGCAGTTAGTTGTTCTAACAGAACAAAGAAACACTATGTGGTTTAAAATCAAGAAAGATGTGTGTCAGAGTTACATCATTTGTCCATACCTATTAAGTCTGTATACTGAGCAAATAAAAAAGCTGAAGAATAATGTGACATTAGGATTGGAGGAACACTTAACAGCAAACCTATATTTATGCAGATGACAGTTTGGCTTACAGAGAGTAGTGAAAAACTGGAACACTCACTGAAGAAAATAAACTATATAGCCTTCCATATGGGTTATATCTCAACATAAAACTCACCACTAGACCAATGGGCAACATCATGATAGATGGAGAAAAGACTGAGATTGTCAACAACTTCATAGGGTTAAATCTCAGTCATAGTGGACTTCATGGCACCTAACAACAACAGTACTTAGACAAATTATGTTTCTACTTTATTTTAGTCTATTGTGTGTACATAATATCATGTGTATATATAATAGACATATATGAAACATTAGTAGATAATGGTATTGGTGCCATCCAGTCAGAACCAACCTATAGCTGACCCTCTAGTGAGTTTTCAGAGGCAGTAAATCGCATGGGAGGAGACTGCCCATCCTTTTGTGGAGTAGCTGGTGCATTTGAACCACATGTCTTTGAGATTACAGAGACATAAGTGAAACCATAATTACCAAAATATGACACATTGGCGTGAAATGAGCACATGCTGTTTAGAGAATGGCAACAGTAGACTTGAGAGTCATAGGGTTGCTACAAACCTTCAGTTGGTTTTATAATATTTTTATTGTGTTGAACACAGTAAAATGAGATGCCTTTGTTGAATACTTGTGTCTAATTGCTTGGAATAATAACACAGTTTGACCAGCAAACCCTTTTAAATATGATATCTATGAAACAAATTCCAACAAAATGTTAAGCTTACCCACTAAGGCACCCCATCATGCCCTCAAGAAATTGTGTAAAGTAATATGAATTATAGTGGCATTATATAATTACCTATTTATTTGTAATACATCTCTCTGCAAGAGGGGATCTTGCATATCTGTTTTAGAAGCTTGCTTTCTACTTCATTGGCCCTCTGGTTGTCCTCCTTACAAAGACTTTTAAAATTCATATTCTTCCAGAGGTACTTTGTTCATCTCAGGATATGTAATTTCTTTTTTCTTGTTAAATGCTGTCAAGTCAAAACCAGTTCATAGCTGATCTTCCAGCAGGTAATCAGAGTTGCTAGTGGATTTGGATCACTTGTCTGTGGGTTGGCAGTGCAGCTCCTTAACACTGGGCTACAAGAGCTCACTTTTTTTTTCTCCTCCTTAAAAGAGCATTTAACAAAAATCCTTTTTCAGTTCAGGGCCTAATCTCTGTCCCAAAAGTCTTATTTGTTTCTATATCATGAAAAACTAATACTGTGTTTTTCCCTCACAGAGGTGAGCTGCTGTTGTGGGATCTCACCCAGTCTTGGAGACGGAACTATACCCTCTTCAGCGGTTCATCAGAAGGGCACACTCATTCAAGAATTGTGTTTAATTTGTGTCCTTTACAAACTGAAGACAGCAAAAATCTGCTGCTTTCCACATCAATGGATAGAGATGTAAGAACTGCTTAATGGATTCTAGCACAATGAAGCAGTGATTAATGGCTTAGATTGTATCAGAGGGCTTTTTTTCAGATTTGTCATCCCATCTCCACCTAGGGTTTCAATTTTAAAAGATCGCAAAGGATGGGGCAGAATTCAGATCTGTTGTTCATAGGATCTCTATGAGTTGTACTTGACTCAGTGGCAGGTCACAACATTATTAAATAAAACAATAAAGATTCTACAGATAGGAAAAACTCAAACTCTCAAGTTGTCTTTTTACCAGAGCAAAATTCATCATAATTTTGCTTTAAGATGACTTATTTTGGTTTAAGTAAGAAACATCTGGGTATACTGAAATCTCTCTAAAAGAGAATTGACATTAACTTTGGGTCTACTTTTTAGTTGTTTTGCCTTTTAAATAAGGTTTTGCTCAAGCCCCCAATTAAAACAGTTGAAAAACTCAACACTCCTTTACTGGATAGAAAAGTTATTTTGGGGTGGTGGATTTTGTTGTTGTTGTTTTAAGTCTAGCAACTAGTTTTTCCATCCTGAGGCTATTTTCACCTTATTTCAAGTTTCCCATATAAGGAAAGGTTGGCAGAATGTAAAGGCCATAGATCTCTAGGAAATTGGAGACTGAGATTCTGGATTTTGTTTTCATTGTATGACTGACTGAATTCACTTGACCCTCGGGAAATAAATATATCTTAAGATCCTTTTTGGTTGGTTTTGTGTGGGCTTCCCCCCCCCCCCATTAGAATCTTTTTGAGCTTTATAATTTTTATAGAATTTGACTCTTTGGTTATTTTCCTTTTCTTTGTCAAATGTACATTTTCTGGATACTGGAAGGATTAAATTTCATTATTCTTCCTTCATTTGCTATGTTGTTTCTTTTCCCTTTATCTTTGCCCTTTTTAATACTTGGGTCTCTTTAATGTCTTCAGGTAAAATGTTGGGACATGGCCACATTGGAGTGCTGCTGGACCTTGCCTTCCCTTGGTGGATTTGCCTACAGTCTGGCTTTCTCTCCTGTGGATGTTGGCTGTTTGGCCATCGGTGTTGGGGATGGCATGATTCGTGTATGGAATACACTCTCCTTAAAGAACAACTATGATGTTAAAAAATTTTGGCAGGGTGTGAAGGCCAAAGTTACAGCGGTAAGGATGCTTTGAGTTTGCTTTGAACTTTTATAAATGAGTAATTCTCTTTTAAGGAATGTCTGCTCATGTAAATTAGCTGTTGGAAATTTAAATTTGTTAAAGATGATTTAGAGAAAACAAAAATTGAAGAACAAAAGTACCCTTTATAACCTGTGATCCTAAAATGTAGTTTAAAATTAAGACCTTGTTCAGATCAGTTTTCTAACAGTTAAAAATTAGAAAGAATGTGAAGATTCATTTATGGCTGGAAAAGGATGGGCAGTCCCATGTGATAAACTGCCTCTGAAAGATACATTAAATTGTATTATCTCATATTGGAATATTGTTGTTGTTGTTATGTGCCATCAAGTTGCTTGCAACTCAAAGTGACCCTATGTACAACAGCCCTAAACTCCGCTCTGTCCTGTGCCAATCGCACTGTCTCTGACACTCCCATCCCAATTATCCCAGTCACGAAATCAGTCCACCTCATAGAGGGCCTTCCCTTCCTGTGCCATCCCTCCACCCTCCCAAGCATGATGTCCCTCTTCAAGAACTGGTCCCTCCGTACAGTTGTACATAGGGTTTTCAGAGGCCTGCTTTTTCAGAAGTGGATGGCCAGTCCTTCTTCCTAGCCTGTCTTAATCTGAATGTTCAGATTTAGGGAAGTATCAGACAGACCAACATTTTACAGAAAAAGTGAAAGGTATATCCCTTATTGTGGAGTTAACCATTAGTATCAGTGTTGTCCCTGCCTTTCTCACACGCGTCTTTACCCACTTATTTCCCTGCTCCACCATCCACCAGGATACCCATCCACTTCTACCCACTCCCTTCACATCTATCACCTCTTGACCAGCCCTTGATCTGGTAGCTTATATCTGAAGCTTCCTTGGCTTCTGTGATTCTAAACACGTCAGCTGCTGGTAGTTTCTTATGTTGTGACCAGTGTCTCTGAAGTTTAGTGGTAATGTTTCCCAAGCAAAGGTGATGTGTCCTGTAGAACTGGTGTGTAGATAGATTTTTCTTCGAGGGCCCAAATGGATTCCGCAGTTTTGGGGTCTTCAGTGTTACCTGGGAAATGAGCGGGGAGTTTCATGGACCCTTTCGCTGTCCAATTTCTCCGCCACAGAATTGGAATATTAAACTACTAAAAAATATAAGGTACATCTTGATATGGAGAATGTTAATAGTTTATGAAAAATGCAATTATAAAGCTAAGAATGAAGTCAAAATAAGAAGTCATTTTTTCTTTCTCCAAAATTACTTCAGTTGTAATTATTATAAAAGTAGTAAATGTTTGTGGTTTAAAATGAAACCAGACAATACAGAAGTGTGGAGTGCAAAATAATATTTTCTTGCCCATCTTCTACTTGATTCTTCCACTTCCATGATCCAGAGAACTGTATTAACAGTTGCTTTCCAAGCACTTAACAAGAGCTTTCAAAGTTTTCTTTATCATGAATAAAATCATTCTTTTTTTAAATTGTCCTGGACTCCCCCCACTCAGTGGTATGTCACAGACATAATTTAAATGTTTGATCTTGTTTTTAAAAATTATGCCTATCTAAATTGATAACAGAATATCTGAAGAGAGATAAAAACTTCCTGTTGTTGATTGCCATTGAGTCAAGCACGACTCATAGAGACCCTATGCACAAAAGACCTGAAGTCTTTCTGTAACTCATCCTTCTCCAAGTTCATAGCTTCCATAGGCATGTTTTTTAGGAAGTAGATGCCACTCCTACTTCCAAACCTGTCTTAAACTGGGAGTTCACCAACCACTGTCCACCATGGGCAACCGTTATGGCATTTGACACCCAAATGGCACAAGCTCAACATCACAGCAAACCCAGATTACCGCAGTAAGGCAAACTGACAGAAGAATGCTATAGGATTTAGAATTATGTTCCTCCAAAATATAACACTATAACACTTTTGCTTTGGTAAGAGCCAATGGGAATGTTTGATTTTAAAGGACTGTGGATTGAAGGTCCTCAGTAGTGTCTTGCTTTTTAATTTCGGTTGGCAATTGAGGAAGCAGCTGAATGCTCTAAGATGGGCACTCTGAGGCTATGTGTGAATTATGCTTGATTTTTAATGTTGATTTGGTTTTCTCTTGAAAAATGAAGATGTGTTACTTGTAAAATTAGAAGAAAACAGTAATAAGAAAGTTTCCTATTTGGATGCTTAAACAATAACTTTGAGATTGCCCAACCATGTACCTTTACTCATCATTCTTACTTGAATACTTTCCTGTTTCATAGCTGTGCTGGCACCCAACTAAGGAAGGTTGCTTAGCCTTTGGAACTGATGACGGAAAAGTGGGCTTGTACGACATCTACTCCAACAAGTAAGAAATAAGTAAATCAACCCATTGATCACAGTGTGGTTGTGGGTTTAATTTTGAGTCCATAGACCTGGATTTATGTCACAGTTGCCTAGGAGTCTTTTTTTAAAAATAAAATTCTGGCTCTGAGACTAGGGAATCATCATTTTGAGTTTTATTTCCTCAGTCTTCTCATCAGGTAACTGATTTAGTCCATTTGACCTTTAATAACCACTAACATATATAATTGTCTTTCCCCACCTCGTTCTCAAAAAAAAAAGCCAACATTTGTTTTTTTAACAAAAAAATACAAGACATACATGAATATTGAACAGCTGTGTACCTTCTTCCATCTGGATTCAAGTTTTGCTGTTTATCTTTGTGTCTGTATATGCCTTTCTGTATAATACACAGTGGTTAAAACACTATTGCTAGCAAAAAGGTGAGCAGTTCAAACTCATAGCCACTCTGGGAGAAAGATGCGGTAGTCTTCTTCCTGTCAGGCATTTATACTGTGAGTTAAATTGATGGGTTATTTGGTTTGACTTTGGTAATATACGTGTCTCTCTGTGTTTTGCCTATAGTACATGAAATTAATCTATTAATAAGACATCCTCCTGTACAGTCACAATATTACAACAACAGTTCCTTAATATGATCTAATATCCAGTCTGTATTCCGATTTCCTCATTTGGGGAAGAATTTTTTTTCTTTTCCAGGTTAGTTTCTAATCAGGGTTCTCCTATAGTTTCTAATACTTAAAACATACTTTCCCACATACTTGTATGTTACTTTTTCATTGTTATAGATACGTCTGGAGTGTTTTGTTTTCGATTAATACCCTGACTTCTTCCATTACATTCATTGCCTTCTCAGTGTGAAGATGCCAGAAAAGTAGTTTTCTAGTTTGTGGGACCAAAATAGATGTTAGGACAGATGGAAAATTGCACTAGAATGTTGAGAAGCCAAAACTTGGGAGAAATAGCCAAATAAAGAGTTGAACAGAAGATTCCAAAGGACAGCTTGAGAAGACAAAGCAAAGTATTTCAGTGAAATGTGTGAGAGTCAGGAGATCAAATGAGAAGAAATCTCTTGGCATTTCTTAAGCCAAAAGAACTAAAGAACAAATTGAAACCTCAAGTTGCAGTACTTAGGGATGCTATGGGAAAAATTGTGAATGATGCAAGAAACAAAGGATGATGAAAGAGTCACTGTATCAAAAAGAATTGGCTGACAAAACCATTTCTGAAAATAGCATATGATCCAGAACCCTTGAAGATAAAGGGAAATGTGGAAGCTGCTTTGAAGGCGGTGGCAAAAAAATGCCTTAAGAATCAGTGGAATACCATTTGATATGTGCAAACAGATGCAGTCCTGGATGTGCTCACAAGACTGTGCCAAGAAACTTGGTTGACTGCTACCTAGCCAACTGATTCTGATTGAAAGAGATCCTTATTTGTTCTCAAAAAAGGTGATTCAACAAAAGGTAGACATTATCTATATAACTATATAGATGTGGATATTGTTAATAATAATAAAATGTAGACATGGAAAACCCTTGATGAGATGTATTAATACAGTATCTGGGGCAGTGGAGGTTAGTGTGTGGGAATTAGACTGGTGCAGGGCAGGGATGGGATCAAAGCTGCTGTACGGTTGTTGTACATCACAGGTGACACAACAGCACATAACAACAACATACTATATTGCTTTTTCTTTAAGCCTCTTGTTTAGAGTCAGCAAGACCTCAGGGAGGGCCTTTGTATTTGAAAGTTGGTTGTTACATTTTGGAGGAATATTTGTCTAAGTGGTATAGCACTATGTTGTACTGAGGTAACCTGAGGTTGCTGTGATGCTGAACCTTATATGCCACTGGGGTGTCAAATGCCATAATGGTTATCCGTGATGGACAGTGTTTGGTGGAGCTCCCAGTTTAAGACAGGTTTGGAAGCAGGTGTGGCATCCATTCCTCTAGAAACTATGAACTTTGATAAATGACGATAATTAGAGAAAGGCTTCTGGCCTTTTGTTTGTAGGGTTGCTGTGAGTCGTGCTCAACTCAAAAACAATCAACAACAACTATAGATATAATTGTCACAATATGTAACATTATTATTACTATCACATGCAAGTAAAATCCTGCTGAAGATTATTGGAAAAATAGTTACAACAATACATAGAGAATTGCCAGAAAATCAAGCTTAATAGAGAAGAGGTCGAAATAACAGGGATATCATTGCTGATATCTGATGGATTCTCTCAAAGCAGAGAATACTAGAAGGATGTCTGTTTTATTGACTATGCAAAGGCATTTGATACCTAGCATTGAGAAGAAGAATAAAAATCTCAGAACTATTAATTGTGCTCATGTGAAACCTGTGCCTGGACCCAAGAGTTGATTTTCAAATCAGAGCACGAGAACAGTGCCTTTCCAGCTGTCCAGAGTCACCAACCTGTTGAACAGGACCGGCTCACAAGGGCAATGCACGCAGGTGCACGTGGAGTTCATGGACGACAACACAAGCTGCTCCATCATCCGCCCCGTGAAAGGGCCTGTGCATGAGGATGATGTGCTGACTGACCCTGCTGGAGTCAGAAAAAGAGGTGTGGAGGCTGTGCTGAGGCCGCTGCTGGATCCTGCCTGGATGTCTCCTACTGCTTGGCCTCTGGGGATGATCTTCATTGTTCATTAAAATCTATATGGTATACTAAAAAAAAAAAAAAAAGACCTGTCGCACTGGGAAAATCTACTATTGGGGACCTCTCCAAAGTGCTGAAAGCAATAATGTCAGCTTAAAGAGCAAGGTGCATCTGATTCAATCATAGTCTTTTCATTTCTTATATATCTGAATGTTGGACAGTGAATAAGGATGACAGAAAACTGATACCTTTAAGTTGTGTTGGAGAAGACTACTGAATATCTCACGGACTGCCAAAAGAGCAAACAGGTCTGTCTTGGAGAAGGTGCAACTGTTGGTGCTTCTTGGAAGCAAGGATGGTGAAGCTTTGTCTCACATACTTTGGTGATGTTTTTTAGGAGGAGCCAGTACTTGAAGGAAGGACATTATGTTGAAAAAGTGGAGGATTAATGTAGGAGAAGAAGGCTGTAAGCGCAATGGATTGACATAGCGACTTTAATTAACAGTGGGCTCAAGTATGTTGGAGATGATGAGGACGGCACAGGATAGAGCAAGCTTCAGATCATTTTTTCATGGGGTTGCTGAGTCTCAGCTCGGTGGTACATAACACCAACAGCGTTTATTTTCTCATGGTGGTGACTTCTAACTTGTTTCTCTAATCTATATTTCCGTTAAATTGAAAGTTATAGCTAATACATTCTGTCTTTTACAGTGGTGACACAAACTTTGTGCCATCAATCAGAACTGACTCACTGCTGACCCTTCGGCAAGTTTTCAGGGATATATATATGTGTGTATATATACACACACACACACACAGATAAGAATGAAATGGCTCATGTACTGAATTAGTGACCATTGCTAGGGTGTTGGGGTTTGCATTTTTTATGTCGCTATTAGATGTTCAATGTGTGTGTTGTGTTTGTATGTATGGTTCATAGCTACATCTTAGATGAAAAATAACCAGGTAAGTAATATAAAAGAAAAAAAACCTATTGCTGTTAACACAGAATGACCTAACAGAGCAGAGTAGAGCCATTTTCTAGAGTTTTCAAGACCAAAATATTTATGGAAGCCAACTGCCACATCATTCCCCAACAGTGACTGGCGAAGTCAGACTTAACCTTTTGGTTGTTAGCTACTGAGCACCACACCAGCCAGGCTCTAATGTGGCTCATAAACATTTTTCTTTTTATTGAGAGTTTTGATACCAGTGCTTTATGCCAGAGGCAGGAGAACTATTGCCCATAAAGTTTTACTGACACACAGCCACACTAATTTGGTTGTACCTTGTCTGATGTTGCTGTTTTTTACTCAGCTGACTTGAGTTCTTGTGACAGAGACTATCTCAAAATAACTGAAATACTCACTGTTTGACCTTTTGCAAAAAATGTTTACCTACCCTTGTAGGGAGCACAGGTAGCTTAGAGGTAAGGAATTGTGCTGTCAGTGTGAAGGTACACAGTTCAAAACCACCATCTCTTCGGCAAGAGAAAGAGGGGCATTCTCCTCCCTTGTGGTTAAATGCTTCTAAGAAGCTTCTAGAGGGTCAGGAATGACAGAATACAACAGCCACCAACCTTGTTCTAGATCATTCACTTCTAAGTGAGAATCGTTTATTGTATTACAGGTTTGTCATTTAAATACTTCTGTAGAACCTACATATAAATAGATATAAAACTTATATTACTTACATTTTTTTCCCCTTCTGAAAGGTAGGGGGCAGTACACTATTTCAGAGAGGGGGGAGCTTTAGTAGCCTAGTGAGTAAGGAGTTGCCCTTCCAACCAAAAGGCAAATGTTCAAATCAGACAGCTTCTCCAAGAGAAGGATGGGACAGGCTCCTTCCTTTCATTTATAACCTTTGAAAACCCATTGGAGGGTCAGCAAAGAATCAGTCACACATTTCAAAGAGGCATTTAAGAAAACCAGGTTGTATACACATTTTTTAAAATGTGGTTTGAACAGAAGTTGTCAAATAATTGGCTTTTCATTCACCATTTATACAGACTTATATCCCCTTCCCACCCCCTTCTTTCCCTAATACGTGTCCTGTACCAGTTCATTTGCTGTGTTTTTTTCTAATCTCTTATCATCCATTCTTTTCCAAATTGCTGTCCCTTCACCTGTTCCAATGTGTGTTCCTTAACCATTCTTTCTGTTCTTCTGTTTCTCATACCAATTTTAATGGTCATAAAACTACTAATTTTGTTGAATTACTGTGCTATGAGCTGAATATTCAGACCAACTTAGAAAAGTGATGTAGGAAAAAGGATATTGCTATAGATACACTGTTAGATATTCAACTGAAACTGTTAATTCTGCTGCTTTTAACCAAAGCTACTTGTCTTCATTGTTTAGAATGAGAACTACTTTTCATGATAAACATGAAAAGTACATCAGTCAACAATTTAATAGATTCTGGTATCCCAGAGTTCCAAAAACATACACCGATTATAATTTACATTAAAGGTGACAGTGCTATCCTTTATTTCCTCAGCCTAAACATTCTTTACTGTTATGTTATATATCATTTTTTTAAATTATACTATTTTGTGTGTGTGTACTGTCAAATCAGATCTGACTGGTACAGGAGGACATTGCCCCTCCTTCAGCAGAGCATCTGGTGGGTTATATATCATTCTTCATTACACAACTTTAAGAAATAATCATGGAAGCCAAGAATCTTTAAAAAATTTTAAAACTGATCTGTCTCAAAATTATTACTTGAAAATTGTAATTAATAGCATGAAGAAGTTTCATTCTGGATTAAAACACTTGTATTTTCTGTGTTGGCATGGCCTTCATACTTTTGTATAAACAATAATATTAGAATGTTTGACATTTATTTGAAGGATGTGCCTGAGAGAGATAAGAAAATTGACCAGATAGGTAAGGGTAACTAATAATGATTCTGGGTAAAGTATATTTGAGACTCACTCCTTTTGAAAATAGGCACTGTTAAATTACAGTCTATGTTATTTACATATATGTTTTTTTATGATCAACTGTTTGGGGAAGGATACTGATAAACTTCCTCAAGTATCAGTAGCTAAATTCATAATAAGGACCTAGAAACATGTGATTTTCCCCCCCTTCACTTTCTCTGTTTTTGTTTCTCTTTCTGTGTCTTATTTTCCTTCCTACTCCCTCAGACCTCCACAGATTTCTAGCTCATATCATAAGAAGACTGTGTATACTTTAGACTGGGGCCCACCAATACCCCCTGTGTCACTTGGTAAGTATCTAAATAATTCTGTATCATGAAGGCATTTTATTTCCTTCGGATTAATCCTAGAATGTCGAAACCAGGCAGATTATTAATTAATGTTCTAGTACAGTGATTCCTTTTATAGTTTCCTCTGTCCCCAGGGGTCCAGTGAAGTGGCCCAAGTGGAACTTGGCATTCCTGGGAGAGACTTCATTCATCAACCTCCTAAAACATTGTTACTTCTCTTTGAACTGATTTTTCTTATTGTGCATGTAGTCATCTTATGCTGAGTCCTAATATTCACCCAGTTCAGTGTTCATTATCAAATACTACCACTTAAGTTTTTTCAGACTTATTCTTCACTGTATTTAATAGAATAATGATCATCTGTTTTCATCCTCAGTTAAAGCAAACTTAGAATTTCTGAAACTATCCCTTTCTCTCTTCTATCCTCTTCTTTTTCTTACCTCTGTAGTGTTGAGTCTTATAATAGCCTCTAAAATAAATGTGTTTTGCCAGAATCGCTGACAAAGTTTCCTTAACCATCTATAAAGAAATAACTGTAAATTTCCATAGTGGTTACATTTTAAGGAGGGTAAAGAATATAAATTATCAGAACTTAAGCAGCATTAGAATTATAGTTTATTCATTGAGCAAATTGACTACTTCACTTCCTTTGCCCCAAGTCAGTATTGAAAATACAAACCATGCCTTACTGTTTGCTTTTTTTGAAATTAATAAGTTGCTGTACTGCTATAAAAATCATTGTTTTGAAACCATAACCTTATAGTTATGAGAAGTTCTTCAGCTCCTTATATTTAAATGACCATAGAGGGGTTTTAGAAAAAAAAATAAACTTTGTAAATAAAAGTTTTAAATCTCTGTAGTTCTCTTAACTTAGTACAGTTTGCTCATACAGCAGCAACAACTAGTTGAGATAACCTTTTCTTTTTCTCCCTTCATAGGAGGAGAAGGAGATAGACCTTCCCGCACTTTATACAGCTGTGGAGGGGAAGGGATTGTCTTACAGCATAACCCCTGGAAGCTTAGTGGAGAAGCCTTTGACATCAACAAACTCATCAGGGATACAAATTCAATTAAAGTGAGTTTTTGTGGTCTAAAATTTTCTCATCTCTTCATAGTGTATTTCTCTGGGATTCTCAGTTTACATGATAAATGCCATTATGGGAAACACATTGGGAGCATTTATTGTGTCAAGTCAGATTCCTTGGGTGTAACCAAAGACTCTGACTGAATCTGTAGCTCTAAGACATGTTTTAGGATAAATAAAGCGAAGAACAAATACAGTGTGTCCACAATTGTACATTATCTCTAAAATTAAATTGATAGTCCAAAAAGGAAAAAAGATATTTTCAATTGCATTAGTTGCTAAAACTTGCCAGAACTTAGTGTAAATCATCCTTTTCACACCAGCCATTTCTTCCAGGTTATTATTTTGGTAAAAATAATTTTATAATGTAGTGTCCAATTGTCATGGGAGAAGAATGGGCAATCTCCTCCCACGTGATTTAACTGCCTCTGAAAACCTGCTGGAGGTCAGCAGTGGGTCCGTTCCACCTCTTCATTACACAACAACAGTGTCCATTTGAGATCTTTTACAGGCACAGTTGTCTAATTTTGTTTCTAATTTCTTTGTTTTCCATTAGAAATAATTTCCAGTACATAATGCTGAGAAGGGTAGAAGGAAAATCTGCAGTTAGGGACGATTCCAAATTATTGAGGAATAGTGATGTCAGTTTGAGGACTCAGGTGCATATGACTCAGGCCATAGTCTTTCCGAATACTGGCAGTGCATCCGAGACTCGGACAGTGAATAAGGATGGCAGAAAAAGAATTGACGCTTTTGAGCTTTGGTGTTGGAGATGAGCACTGAACATCCGTGGACAGAAAGAGATGAAACAGCTATGTTTTTGAGAGGGGACAGCCGAAGTGCTCTTTGGAGGCAAGAATGATGAGGCTACACCTCACACTCTTTTGGACATGTTCCTGTAAGATGCTATTCCTTGGAGAAGGACATGATATTGAGAAGGATGGAGGGGGTCAGCGAAGGAGAGGAAGACCCTCAACCAGGTGAATTGACACGGTGACTGCTGCAGTGGGCTCTTGTGTGTCAAGAAGTGTGAGGATGGTGCCGGAGAGAACAGAGTTCAGATCTTTTGTTAATTTTAGTCATTATGAGTCGTGCTTGACTCAACAGCACCTAACAACACCACCACAATAAGTTTAGAGGAGGACTGTGGGCTGACAAAAAGGAAGTTGGAATTCCTTTTCATATAAATGATAGGAAAAGAAACTGTGGGCAATTATGACATATCTAAAGAAGTAGGCCTTTTGGGAAGCACCCATACAGATCTAAAAGAATGGTTCAGAATGTCCAGAAAAGTACACTTAGACAACATAGGATGAAAGCAGAGTGAGTACAGCTTGTTGAGATGACAACATGTTATCAGAGCCAATAGATGTTTCATTCAAGGGATAAAAATTACTTACGTAGTTTATTTCACTAGGTTAGCTACAGATTCCATAAGTGGAATGTACTTAATGACCTCTTCCAAAGTGTTGAGTTCAGTTCAGGGCAGCTTCCCTGATCTGTTAATTAAACTTTGGTACATTGAAATGGGCTGGGAAAAACCATTGGATAGAAAGCCTTCCTCTCTATTCATTTATCTCCCAGCCTACAAAAATACAAATAAATGATAATTTTAAAAGACTCCTACTAATAGGGAATGCCTTTGCATCGTCAATGAAAAACAGATAGATATCCCTCTGGTACGCTTTGCTTTCAGCCAAGAGCCATCTAAGGTTAACAATAATATCCTAGTGCCATGACCTCTCCTAAACCCAGCTTGTGTTTCTGGTAGTTCTCTGTCAATGTACTGTACTGTTCCAGTCATTTCTGGATAATCTTCAGCAGGATTGTGTTTATGTGAAACCTGTAGTTGGACCAGAATGCAGTCTTCAGAACAGAGAACGGATACACTGCATAGTTCAAAATCAGGAAGGGAGTGTGTCAAGGATGCATCCTGTCTCCATATCTTTCTAATCTATATACAGAACAGATCATTCAGAAAGCTGGGCTTTATGAGGAGGAGTGTGGCATCAGGATTGGAGGAAGACTAATCAACAACCAGGGTTACAGAGATGACACAGGTTTGCTGAAACTGAGGAGGACCTGAAGCACTTGCTACAGGTGGTCAAGGATTGTAGTCTTCAAGATGGGTTGAAGCTCAACATCAAGAAGACAAAGATTCTCACCACTGGGCCTGATGACAGCACCATATGGATGGAGAAGAGATTGAAGTTGTTAACAATCAATACTCTTGGCACCAGCAATCAGAAAATCAGAAGATAAATTGCATTAGGGAAATCTGCTGTCGGGCCTTTCCAGATTACTGAGAAGCAAACAATGTCAGTCTAGAAACTAAGATGCGCCTGATCCAGTCCATGATCTTTGCAATTATTTACTATGCATCAGAGAGCTGAATAATGACTTAAGAATGATAAAAGAATCAATGCCCTTGAGTTGTACTGGAAAAGAGTCTTGAACATATCATGGACTACCAAGAAAATAGGTCTGCCTTAGAGAAGGTGAAACCAAGTTTCTCCTTAAAGGGTAAAATTTTGAAGCTCCATTTCACATACTGTGAGCATGTGATCAGGAGGGACCGATCCATGGAGAAGGACTTCATGCTCAGAAGGGTGGAAGGACAGCAAAGAGAGGAAGACCCCAGATAAGTTGGAATGATACAGTAACTGGCAGAATGGGGGTGGTGTGTCACAATCGGTCAAAATCAGAGACTGGCTTAGGACAGGGCAGGCTTCAGAGCTATTGTACATAATGTCACTATAAGTCGCAGGCAACTCAACGACACATAACAAGAGTCATCTCTAGTCCTTGTTCTTTAACATATTCTCAAAATAATGAGTAAATATGTCTGCTCCTTTGCTCCTCTGTAATTTCTTCTGGTGACCTTTATAAGATAGAAATCTGCCATTGCTTGAGGCCTTTTAGTGACTTCTCTCCATTTAAGAACTTCTGTCCTCAATCCTATCGCATCTCTAGAGAAGTAAAACTAGCTAAACCGTTAGCTGACATGATGCTAGAAGACAAATTCATTGTGATGTAACTCCAGTTTCAGTTATGATGCAAAAAGGAAAAACTGCAAGGGGAAGTCCAGGACTGCCTTTCAGAAGCTGGTAACTTGGTCATCATTCAAAGTATGCCAGTAGCTCTAAATTGGATCTTAGTGGGAAGCTGCATAGGCTTGTTTGATCTGAAAAATGAATAAAGATTGCTATAATAAGGTCCTGTGGCTACATAATCAACTCCCAGAATTTCCATAATCTAGCTTTGTACTGAGCATTATAGACTGAAGAATGTTTCCCATATCTGTGGACTATTTTTTTTAAAGGTTGCGGGTACCGTGATGGTGAATGACTAATTATGTAGATTGTTGGCACAAATTACTTTATGTAATTCAACTCAACTATAAAAAAAAATTACCATAAAGTCAGAATCAATTCATAGCAGTCCCTCCAGCACTATAAATCACATGGGAGGAGATCTTTCTTTCAGGGAGCAGTCTGTGGCTTGAAACCACCAGATTTTGAGTTGGCATTACATTTAGCCCCTAGGCCAGGAGCACTCTCTTATTATTACATAATTAGAGTGATTTAAACTCTCAGTATTTTTTTTTCCTCCATTCTATCTTAATTTGTTGGTGCTACTATAACAAAAATATGATGAGTGGCTTTAACAAATTTATTTCCATAGTTCAGGAGGGTAAGTCCAAATTCAAGGTGCCAACTAAAGAAAGTTTCCTGTTCTTCCTCATCTCTGGAGAAGATCCTTTTTCTTGTTGTCCTATATGTGGCATCTGTTTTCCCCATTTGTTCTTGCTTTTTCTACGCCTAATCTCCTATTGTATCTCAAAAATAGTTCAGACACAGCCTACACTGATAAGGCAGCATTAATGAAGAAAACTATTCACAGTAAGACCATGTTTACATATATAGGGGTTAGGAGTCCAGTAGGTATGTTGGGGTGACACAGTACCTACAGTGATACTATCATTGGTGTGCAGAATGGAGTGAAGAATATTAAGAGTCAAAACTGTTTTGTTTTGCTTCATAGTACAAACTGCCAGTACATACAGAGATCAGCTGGAAAGCAGACGGCAAAACCATGGCTCTTGGCAATGAAGATGGGTATGTGTTTGCTTCTTTTTAAAAAAAAACTATAACTGCATACCTTTTATCACAAGGTAGTTGTTGCCATCAATTATCCTAGTTGGGGAAACTCAGTTGTATTAGGTTTTGCGATTTGTCCTTATCCTTGATCATCTTAGAGTGCATTGTGTCTATGAGAACTGCACAGTTTGGATATTTTCCATGGTCTAAGGAGAGTGTTTTGACTACACTTCCTTTCTGATGTCTTACACTTCACAAAATTATTATCTCCTGAGTTAACCTAGGTAAATCTTTTTTTGTTTTTTAAAGTAAGCCTAAGGAGCATAGGTAGTCCAAACACTCTACGGTTTATTGTGCTGCTAACTCAAAGGCTGTTTGGCATTTCAAATTCACTAGCAACTCTGTGGGAAAAAGCTGTGCAGACTCCTCCTACGGCCTTGGAAAGTCAGCTCTGAGTTTCTTCTGACCCATGGCAATGAGTTTGTGTTTCAGGGATGGGTTTTTTTTATCACTCCAAAGATTGGGAGCTTAGTGGTTTGGAGTTGTGCTGTCAACCACGGGAGAAAGCTGGGCAGTCTCCTGTGCAGTTACCTGCCTCTAAAAACCCGCCGGAGGATCACCTATAAGTCGGTTCCAGTGTCACAGTTAACAAAGATTGGCAATTGGAACTGCTTCCTTTATTACAAGCCTCTAATAAACATAGCCATATGTTGTATATTCCATGTTCTGATTGACAAATGTTTCCTTAGTTTGTTTGGTTTTTTTTTGGTTTGGTGTTTTTTTTTTTGTTTTTTTGTTTTTGTTTTTCACATTTTGAGTTAGGTGACATCAGCATGTGACGTTTTCTCTAAAGCCTTACTCCATCTGTGTCACTGAGATTTACTCTGAGAAGGCAACTCTTCCTCAGACTTATCTGTAGTGCCCTCTAACCTAAGAGGCTCATCTTCCAGCACTGTATCAGACAGTGTCCCACTACTATCATAACATTTTCTCTGTTTGTGTTTTTAAAAAAATGAGGGGAATCACCAAATCCATCTGAATCCAAGTTCTACTGAAACCTTCCCACCATAGTGGCTCTGCTGGCATTGAAATACTGGTGGCATAGTTTCCAGCATCACAGGAACACACAGCCACATTTCAGCAGATGAGATGGATTGGCAGTATGACAGGAACAGTTGTGAGGATAACAAAAGGTCAAGCCCTGTTTCAGTCTCTCGGACATAGGGTTACTCTGAGGTGGAATGGATTTGATGGCATCTAACAACAACCTTTTCTAAAGATTAAAGATTTTTAAAGGATGAATATACAACAAAACAACCTTTTGGACATCGTTCATTATGAGAAAATGGCCTTTGCAGTAATAGATAAGCGTTATCTAGTCTATTCTATTCCATTTTACTCTTCTGTAACTGGTGGAATGTATGTTTGCATTGGACCGTAATTTCATCAGCCATCTCTCTTGTCTTATGTTTCTTACTCTAGGTCAATAGAAGTATTTCAGGCCCCCAACTTGAAACTGATCTGCACCATCCAGCAGCATCACAAGCTTGTGAATACCATTAGCTGGCATCATGAGCATGGCAGCCAGCCCGAGCTCAGTTATCTGCTGGCCTCTGGGTCCAACAGTGCTGTTATTTATGTACACCACCTAAAGACTGTCATAGGTAAATTTTATTTCTTTCTCTTTTTTTTTCTTTCTATATTTTATTAATTTTCATAAACATTTACAGAG